GCCTCGTGCCACTGCTGCCCACCAGAGCCCTGGCCCCTCCTCCAGGGCCAGGCGGCTGGCATGGCAACACAGGCCAGGAGCCCAAGTTCCCTTTGGCAATGCGGGTCATGGAGGGCCTGACAGGGTAGGCTATGCACTGGGCGTGTCAGAAAGCACCGAGGAGGGTGGGGTTGGAGGCTGGTGCCCCCTGCGTGTGCCAGGCGGGCATCTCCGTCTGAGGGGCGGGGGCCAAGGGGATAGTGTGCCTACAGGATGAAGAGCCTTGGGAGAGCCCTGGCCGGTGTAGCTCAGTGGATAGAGCACCGGCCTGCGGACTGAAGGGTCCTGGGTTCGATTCCAATCAAGGGCACGTACCTCGGTTGGAGGCTCGTCCCCGGCCTGGGCCTGGTCAAGGGCGTGCAGGAGGCGACCCGTAGATGTGTTTCTCTCACATGGATGTTTCCCTCTGTCTCTCCCTCTCCCACTCGCTCTAAAAACCAATGGGGTGGGGGCGGGGGGAGCACCCTGGAGGGGAGTGTTGAGTGAAGCCCTCCTCACTGTGGCTGCAGCACCAAGAGCGGCCACATGGGGGAAGCAGAGGGTAAGAACGGCCGCCAAGGTGGAGGCTGCACCAGGACTCAGGCCACCGGGAGGAGGGCGGCGGGCCCCAGCCTGCAGCTGGGCCACCAGCTGTGCTCACAGCCTCGCCCTGTGCCTCTCAGCTGGGGGGACTGGGAGCCGTCCCCACGTCTCGGGAACTCGAGGCTGCACCGGTCACCCCAGGTCATCCAGCTGGCCCTGACCGCCAGGTTGCAGCCCAGACCTCCCCGCCCCCGGAGCGACCCCTTTGGTGAGGGGCCCGGGCAGAGGTAGGGGCTGGGTGGCAGGGGCAGGTCTTGTCCAGGGGGTTTCTGGAAGTGGGCAAGAATACACAATGCGGGGGATTTGGGGGGCTCCCAGGGACGGGGCCCAGAAGAGGGAAGGAGGGGAAGGTCGGTGCCTCCTGCCCTTCCAGACCCCAGACCCCCTGCTCTCCACCTCTGCTTCCAGCTCAGGACAGTGGGGCTGAGCGACCCATAGCTGCTGGGTGGGTACTTCCCTCTGCAGATGAGGGGGCAGGGCCGGCCTCCCACCCACCTGTCTCCTGGCTGAGCAGCCCAGCTGGCACTTGTCGGTGGGTGAGAGGGCAGTTTCGTGGTCCAGGCAGTCGGGACACGTGGGAGCAGACACCGCCTGGGGGCTTGGGGGGTTCACAGCTCCCACAACAAGCCCCAGAGGCCACGAAGGGGCCTCCCAGGTGGAGGAGCAGGAAGGTTGGGGCGGAGGGAGAGGAAGGGGCTGGCAGCCCAGGCTCCTCCCCATCAGGCCATGGTTTAGGCTGCATCCCAGAGTGAAGCACGGCTTCCCTGAGCGCGCCCCCCCCCCTCGCCAATCCCTCAGACAGGCCTAGAGCTGCCCTGCCCCTCCCCGGCAGGAGGAGGGGTGCGCTGTCTGGGCCCCGGCATCAGGCATCCTCTGTGCCAGGGGCAGGCCAGGCTGGGAAGCCCCAACACCTGGCAGGGTTTTCCCGGGGGCCCCGGGGGGCAGGGGCTCTGTCTGGGTCTGTGTGAGGGCGGAAGTTCCCGGAGCCCGGCATGGACTCCCCAGCGACATCAAAGGCAGGGACGACCCCCATTTCAGGGAAATGGAACCCCTGGGAATCAAGACATCTAAGCCCAATGGTCACGTCGCATATACGAACCAATCAATGAATGAATGCATCAGTAAGTGGAACAACTGCCTGGCTGGCGAGGCTCAGTGACTGAGCGCTGACCTGTGAACCAGGAGGTCAGGGTTTTCGATTCCTGATCAGGGCACAGGCCCGGGTTGTGGGCTGGATCCCCAGTGTGGGGCAGCCGGTCAGTGATTCTCATCACTGATGTTTCTCTCCCTCTCCCTTCCTCTCTGAAACCAATAAAAACATATTTAAAATAACAACAATATTATTTTAAAAATAGACGAGTAGATAGAGAAGATTTGGCTTATGTATACAATAGAATATTCCCTCATCTGTGGGAAAAGAGGAAATGGCGCCACCTGCGAAAACATGAGTCGGGCTGGAGGGCATTATGCGAAGATCAGTCACAGAGGAAAACAAACAGTGATCTCACTGATATGTGGGATCCCAAAGCCAGACTCCGGCTCCTTGGCTCTGAATCCCTGATTTGCCGAACCCGAGAACTGAGCGCCAGCGTTGCTGCTAACAACGCCGGTTAATGAAATGACAGGCGGCAGGTGTACGGCCCTCTGGTCCCTCGTCTGCGTATCAGATGGTGTTACCGCCCCTAGTCAAGTCGCCTTCCCCTGAGGGTGTATTTTGAGTAAAAGTTGGGGAATTTTATAAATGTTTTTTTCTGCATTGACTGAGATGGCCAGTCATTTTTTTTCCTGTTGGCGTGAAAACGTGGTGAATTTCGTTGCTCGATTTTCTAAGGTTCAGCCCATCTTGCATTCAGAGAGTACACCCACATGGGGGTGAGATAAGTTCTTTCTTATTGCGTTTGGCGTGCTTATGTTTTGTTGAGTTTCACACCCCTGTGTGGGAACGAAGTCAACCTCTCGTGTTCCGACATGAACTGTCTTTGTTGGGCCCGGCCCTGGCGGCTCCGTGGCTGAGCGTCGAGCTAGGAACCAGGAGGTCACGGTTCAGTCCCTGGTCAGGGCACCGGCCCGGGTTGTGGGCTCGATCCCCAGTGGGGGCCATGCAGGCGGCAGCCGGTCCATGATTCTCTCTTCTCGTCGATGTGTCTCTCCCTTCCTCTCTGAAATCAATGAAAACATATCTTTTTTTAAAAAAATTTCTTGGTTGGGTTTCTTCCCGAGATTCTGCTGGTCTCATTGGGAGAGCTGGGCCGAGGTCCCTCTCTGCTCCGCGGGGGAGTCTGTCTGCGTGCGAGGCTGTTTTTCTCCCGACAGCAACACAGCAACAGCGCTTGGAGGGCGCGGGGGCGGGGGTGGGGGGGCGCCTCCGGGCCGGGAGCTATTTCCTCCGCCTCTGGGATCTCGCTGCTATTTTCACTGGAAAAGGCTGATGTGTGAATGCGGTTGAGCAACTTGCTTCTAAGTGGAAACAGCCATTTGCAGCTTTCTGTGGCCTAAGGAGTCATAGCCCTGTGCATCTTCCCAATGCATTCTTGATCTCTGATATTAAATATTTCAGTATTTTAACCGGGCCGGGAGCTATTTCCTCCGCCTCTGGGATCTCGCTGCTATTTTCACTGGAAAAGGCTGATGTGTGAATGCGGTTGAGCAACTTGCTTCTAAGTGGAAACAGCCATTTGCAGCTTTCTGTGGCCTAAGGAGTCATAGCCCTGTGCATCTTCCCAATGCATTCTTGATCTCTGATATTAAATATTTCAGTATTTTAAAAGATTCGAGGATCTCCT